AAATGCTCTATTTTTTCTTTAATAGGGAACTGTCCATGGCATCCAATTTAAGGCATTTGAGTAAAGCTCAGTTCTGGTGAAAAGGCTAGTAAATGGCTACCAAGGCAAAAGCAAATGTTTCAGCAGCAGACTATTAGAGCAGCACTTAGGAAACCCAAAGGTGCTTTTTCCTGGATGACAAGAACAAGACTTTGGTCTGCCAGAAGTTAAGGAAATTCTCGTTTCATTCAGTAACATCAGGCTGACAGAACAGGAAGACTTGCACAGTTCTCCTGCAGTTACTGGTAATGATCCCCCTCAGATTACTAACATGGGAAAGAAAAAAGTGAAAAGCAGAACTGTGCAAGCATCACTGAGGCTGGGAAAGCCAGGAAATATCCATGCCAGGAGGCTTCCCTTAATATACTGCAGTTGTACTTGCATGTTTGAGCAATATTATTCATAAAGGAAACATTTTTTTTTTAAGAGATTTCTTGTGCCTCAGATTTCAAAGTCAGTTAAACATACACATCACAGACCTGACTCCCACCCCAGCCCCCATGCATCCCTCATTGCCAGATTAACAGCATTCACAGCTTATAAAAGTACGTGTCACAAGAGGGTCTCAACTATTTGGAAACAAACAAACAAACAAACAAAATACTTTAACATTCAGGTTTATCAGACATTTTAAAGATGTGAAAAATGCTTTGATAATTCCAAACTAATCCATTCTGTATAAGAAAGCATACTAAACAGTGTAGAAAATACAAGTCACGGATCAGTTTCCTACAATCAGATTTCCTCATACAATCAAAAAAGGAGAAAATTTGGCATATAGAAAAAATGTAGAACAACAACAAAAAATTCATTGACCTGATTTGTCAGAGAGGTTGGCTGTGACTGGCGTGGTGGAGCAGGTTGTATTAGCCTTTGCGTTGTCCTTGGAAGAACCAACTTTTGGTTTATTTTTCGTTGCCTCTAGTGCTTTGACCTTCTTGGCATGTTTACTTCCTTTGTAGTGGGCCTCGGCCTGGCTCTACAAAGGAGAACAAATCAGGTTCACTTGGTTTCGTACTTACACATAACACAACGTATAAGGCAGAAGACTGACACTTTCAATAGTAGGCACCATGCTATTCCACCTAAAAAATTTAGGAGCTTAACCCTAACACTTTTTCTAAATGTAAATTCTTATAATATTGAAAGGGTAGGATTTTAATGAGCAGGATATGTTTTTGGTAACTTGAACAAGATGCTTCGAGACTAAATTAAGTTCTGTCACTTTCAATGTAATTCTTTGCTTATAAGTTGCTTAAAGATTTAAAAGCTACACAACAAACACATCCAATTGCAAAAGATCCTATTCAGTTTTCATGTTCTGTTTCTACTGCTTAGAGTGAGAAAAATATACCATGATGTAACCGGATCAAACAATCCATCTCTTCCCTTATGTTTGATCTAGTACAAAAGTCATAAAGTGCTTTCATTATCACACTAACAGCAATTGAAACTGCCATTAATGACATTATGACTTAACTATTAGATCAAGAAGGGATAAAAAAAGAAGAAACATGGTATCTATAAACTTTAACAGACCCAAGTGAAACACAGGAAACAAATTATTAATCAGTGATGATTGTTCCATAAACTGCCTGGGGTAGTTTTTTCCAAAGCCTAAGAAAACTGGAACTGTAAGGATAGGAAATGGAGGAGCTTATTTTTATTATCATCATCTTCGATAAAATCTGTTATATTTAGTATGTTCCCCTTTGTCTGCTTGAACATAAGAGAAGAAATGTGTATTAAAATGAAACATTTCACCTCTGTCATAAAGCTATCCATACAAACTAGGCTGGGGTTTTCAAAGTTGCATAGTTAAAACTGGACTGTGCCTGTTTTTCAATTATTTCAAGTCCCCATTATTCTTCTTGATTTTAGCTGACCTGCTCTGCTACCTTAACAAATCAAGCCTTATCTTCTTCAGCTGCAAAGCTATGAAACTATGTGCTCAGTCCAAACTCCAAAGTTTGGAAATTTCAGCTATATTGAGTTTTCAGTAATTCTCCTGAGCTAAAAAAAAAGTTTATCAAAAATGAGCAATGCACGTAGTATTATACAAAACAAAATCTACTTGTGTAACACTGCACATTATACTATTTAGCAGTAGCTTTACATCACTAGTAAGATGAATGTCATTGCTTTAATGACTGAGGAAACACTAATAGGTGCCTCTATTGAAGGTTACATATTAACTAATAAGTTAATAGTGTAGTATAAATCAAAAGGCTCAAAGAAAGCATGCTTCAGGCAACAAGATGACCACATCTTGGCACCTGGCATATAAAAACATCAACGCAAGGAAACTTTTGCTTTGTTCATGCAAAAACACGTCATCTCTCTCCAATTGATTAGGATTATTTTACTTAAGTTCATTGTGTTAAATGAAGCAAGGCATGAAACAAATTACACGCTTTATAAAAAGCAAATGAATGTGTTAGGTGTGTCAAACAGGGCTGCCCTAATGAGGAAATTTGCTTTAAGGTCAACAGAAACAGGAATCATAATAAAGTCACCTTGGGACAGCACATATCAATAATTTTTTTGTCACACAGTGTAAACAAACAGCAGTATCAGATGGAACAGGTAAGAGAATAGGTACAAAACTGTGCCTGTTGGAGTTAGCACAAAAGTTATATGCACCATTAAAACTAGTGGAGAACTGCAACTAAAATTTAGTGAAGTTCCTAAATGCTGGAGCACTGTAAGTGCTTGTTCACCCTGGGGAACACTGAGCTTCCTGCCTCAAAAGAAACAGCAGAAGTAACTCGTTATGGCTACATTTTTCTTTTGGGGAAAATTCAGTAAGCAAGCATTCAGAAGTGCTGCTAGATAAATTTTATCTTGAATGCCTTGGAAATTGATTTTTCTTTTTTTTTAGTTTTTATTATAGAAAACAGTAAGATTTTTACTCATTAGTAGCTATTAAACTACTTTGTTATTTTAGCACCTTTGGAAATTAACATGTATACAAACACAAGTAAAAGATTATAAAGAAACAACTAAATGACTCTACAACCACTACTATATACACTACTTAAAGGGACACTTGTCAACTTCTGGGTTGGAGCTACTGAGTGCTGAGCGGAGGCAGAGGAGCACAGATCTGTTGCACCTTGTCACACACGTGTGCCTTATGCAGGCAGAGGAGCTAGGTATTGTCACCCCTGACCCCTCCACCCTTGCTGGGCTTGGCCCATTTCATTTCAGCTTTGCTGTAGCTATATAAAGCACCAGAAGCAGTGTTCACCGTCAACAGAATTAAATCAACTACTCATGCAATACAATGTACAAAAATGCAAAGCTAAAAATTGAGGTGTGTGTATATATATATTTTTATATATTATATATATATATATATATAAAAATCTTTGCCTGTTCTTATACTTTTAACTGTAAATAATAGCATGAATGAGATTTTCCACTCAAATGTTCTCCAGTTGATGATGTCCCTTTAAATATTTGAACAATAACTATGCTCCGTGCGTACATGTGCTGTAGATAGGATCATATGCTGCCTGAGGTGGAAGCTACGACATAAGAGACATAGGTGCACTCAAGAGAAAGGCTTAATAAGTCAGATCATTGATAATAAGCCTTTCTGCTGATATTTGCAATAATAACGCCTGCAATATCAGTGATAACCTACTACAGTCTTTGATTCCTTTCATTCAATCCTCACTTAGTGCACATGAGACCTGTTGAGAACAAACAAGCCCAGGCAGAATTAATATTAGGATCTCCATAAACACAAGCAAAGCCCCAAGGAAAAGTGGTGAATGGCCTCCTTTTTGATTTCATTGACATAATTATTGCAATTGTTATATTACCAATTTTGTAATTGTACATTATGCAAAGCCAAAAAGCACGGTTGTGACAACCCAAGTGTGGCTTCTGAAAACAGTAACCCTTCCCAAAGCTGCTCGACACTAACCCATATTCCTTAGGAGAAAACATGGTTTGCTCTTGATATTGAAGTTGCTAGAGATAGAAAAAACACCTTTGATAAACTGCTTCAGTGGTCCACTTGCTCAGATAAGTGCATATCATTTATCTCTCTGAACTTGTTTATTTTCGTTGTGCAGTGACTGGATTTTGTTGAACCTCTGTTAGGCTCTTTCCACATATCTCTGCACTTTAAGCGAGAAAATGGATACTCTTTTCAATATGAGGTTCAGGGGCATCCCTTGAGGTCCTGAAGCAATGTTTTCTAAACACATAAGCCTCTTTTGGATGGAACAAAAATTCAGACTTCCCTGATTATCTGCTGCAGGACCCAAATCACTTTCTGATTTGCAATTTCATGAAAGAGATTCTCCCACCTCATCTGGCCTAAGTTTATGTTCCTAAACCATCCCTATATATTTATCTGCTTTAACATGAACAATGTGCTTGTGCAGAATTTGCCAGAACTGACGTACACCAGTTTATATCAGAGACTTGTCCGTTTTTGGACATATAACCCATGATATACTATGTACTCTAACTATAGTTTTAGATTGTCATATTTTTCATCATTTTATAATGCTTAAACTTCACAGGCATTGCCCAGTAACAATGAGGCAAAGAGAAAAGCTGTGCCGTATATAAAACTGTTATAACAGTGATGCAATATTCAATTGCTAATTACTGCCCATATTTCACCCAGCAGTTGGATCTAAAAGTTGGATCTAACATTTTTAAATCCTTTTTATGTCTGTAACTATACAATTTATTTTATTTAGCTCTTTTGATAAAGGCGCTAAACTAAAATAACACAGGATACAGTTCTATTGCAGTTCTAATTGCAACTGTATTACAAAACTCACTGCTCTTTAGAGTTTTCTGGAATAAAAAGAGAAAATGATGGTAGCCTTGCCTTACATTTACATATGTATAAGTACTGCTATATATAGACGTACATATAAATAACTGGGAAACATAAAAAACATACAGATTCTTTGATAGTGATATTACTTTAAGAAATCTTTAAAATTCAGAAAAGACTGCAGTACAAAGGATGACAGAAAATTACCCCTGTCAGGAGCAATGACTGACAGTGTATTTGAAATCAGCACTATTCATTTTGACAGCTCATAGGTGAGCGAGTTTGAGAATCTATTTGGCATGTGAATGACTAATTAACTGAATTTATTACAACCTAACGAGCTGAAATATTCATCTACAGGATTTTTCAATGACAACCTGATGCAACATTTGACTACATCGTAGGTCTCTGGTTCAGTGTGCGTGCATGTGTGGTCAGCCGTATTTTCGGGTTTCATTAGGATCAGCTGACATAGCCCTTTAATCAAGCTGGATGGAAATAGATCTTTGAACCTTCAGCAGTTAAGGTGAACTGAGCCTACTACAAGGTTATCCAGTTTGAGAACGAACACATTAAGTGAAATATATGTGGAACAGTAAGCTAGCAAGAAAGAGAGAGAGAAAGAGAGAGGTCCAGAGAAACAGACTCTGAAGTGTCCACAAGTGAAGCTCAGGTTAATGTCTTACATCTGAAATATTGGAATATGAATTTGACCAGTATTTTTGCCCTTGCAATATTCATTTTTTTAACCCTAAATTGCCAAATCCTTGACTGACTTAAGCTTAATTTAAATCAATGTGATTTGTGTCTGAAAGTTATAAAATGAGACCTAAAGAAGTGCTGAAACATAAGCAATAACACGCCTATTAAAAGCACAAATTCAAGCAAGGACTTGCAAAACTTCTGCAAGTGCTGAGAATTCATCATTTTTTACCTTTAATTTGGCAGGAATAGAGATTCTAAGAATATTTGAAAGTCAACCTGTGCGACTTACCCAAGTTTGTAGCAAAACTAAAGAGAATTTAGATTTCTTAATTACAACTAAAATGGACAATTGCCACAATAAGCGGGAAAACCTTCTCTCCTAACATTCAAAAGAAAAGTGAAAAGATAAAAACATGTATCTGCAGAACACTATCACAAAACCATCCATTATACACATACACTTTATT